GGGATGGAGAGAGCTTAATGGTTTGAAAATTTTTTTAGCTCTACATGACCACCTTATTTGGACTATCGCTCTACCATCACCAACGAATTGTCTCTCAACCCCCGCCATCAAATTGTTGTTGATAGGTCATTGCAGTCATAATGTTGACAAATAATCACTAGTGGCAAACTGTCATTGCTTCATTATTATTGACTAATTGCCATCACATTTGTCTATAGTCACGCAGCCAGAATGCTGAGAAATGATCACTAGTGTCAAACTGTCACTTCATTATTGTTGTCTGATTGTCATCACATTTGTCTATAGTCACTCAACCTCTATTGCCTAACAACAATTTTGTCATCACTATTACTCGATTATTGTATTTTGATTGTCATTGCTCTACAAAGTTCTCTCAACTATTATCACCCAACTACACTCGAGATTACCATGGCTCGATCATTATCACTTATCAATGGCTACCTAACGACTATCACCAAGCTCGAATTGCCTGACTAGCATTCTCTAATTGTAACTACTCAACGACGGTCGCCCAATTACAATCTCTCAAGCAACTTCACCAAACTCGTTTTCCAACCATCATCACTTGACTACACTGACGCTCATTGACTTTGGTTCTCGCCATTTCTTATAAGACTAGTTCATATTCTTAACATGTGCCATCACATTTAAGGTCAATACATGATTTTGATATACGCTATCACTTTAAAATCTGATGGACGTTGTCAACGCCAATGTCATCGCCAACCAACCTTTTTTGTATGTCGTCGCTAACAATGTTAATGTACGAAATTATTCATAAGATTAATGCAAGTTATCGATACCAACAATGGTGTTTGCTGACTTTGTTGTTTGTCACCATCAATAGTGTTGGTGGAAACCATCTAAGTTATAAAAAAAACATCATAAAAAACAAAAGAAGAACATAAAATTGACATTTTCAAAATATTCTATGAAAAATAATTATATATCATTTGTCTTTTGAACTAATTCAATTGTTTGAAGTAACTATAGAACCATATAAAATATATATGCATAATTTTAATTAACTGAGATTAACTTCAACTTTATTCAATCTCATATAGTATTTTAGGCTAAAAAAAAGTAAGATTTTCATACATACAACTCAATTTATATATATTTACACATGTTAACACCTAAACTTTAGTTTTTACATATATATATATATATGCCACCTAATCTATGCATGAAAAGGTGCATTTCCCTTTTTAATGGCATTTTTTATGTGATATGAAAGATTTGGGCGGCTTTAGTATAAAAATCAAATGTTTAGGTGTTAGATATGTAAGTACATGGGAACTGGGTGGTATTTATGTAAATGTAGCATGTTTTAATTGAGTATTTTGGTGTTATGCAGAAATGACTAGACATTATTATATGTACCAAAAAAAAAAGGTTTATTGCAACTTGAGAGGTTCAATATGGATATAAAAAGATGATTAATTAATAACTAATCCATTGGATTAAATGCTCTGTCCTATCATTTAACCATACATTCTCCTAAATCAATTATTAACTTATTAATTACATCCAACAAGGTCAAACTTTATTTTAAAAATACACGGCATAAATTAAACATTTGGATAATATTATGACTTAATAAAATGTAGCCCCGATGACTTCCAATTAAATTCAATTAGAATAAATCTCTTTCTGCTGAATGTGGACGAAAATAGCGACAAAATTAGCTGAAACAGTCTGCCGGCATGTTTAGCATCTCAGGCTTA